GATTGATTGATTGATTGATTAGTTGATTGATTGGTTGATTGATTGATTGACTAGTCCCTGATTTCGGGTCTCTTTGATCGGTGTATTGATTGCAATCCCTTGGCGGCGCCGGAATTGCTTGGGGGATGATTGATTGATTCATTGATTTTGATTGATTGATTGATTGATTGATTGATTGATTGATTGGTTCCTTGAACATGTGATCAGCTGATGGATCAGCGCAGCTTGGCTGGGTTCTTGATTCAGTCTTCATACTTTACCGCACATGTGATTGGTCTTCCTCTTGATCGGTTGGATGATTGATCTCGCTGGATTGCTGATCGATTGGTAAATTGAACCTTGGGCTCTCATTCTACTTTACTGATTGATCGATTGTTTGCTTGATTGATTGTTTGATTGATTGTTTGATTGATCGATTGCTTGCTCGCTCGCTTGCTTGCTTGATGGGTTTTTTTTTTTTTTTCCCTTTCGTTCTAACGCCCCCGGCAACGACAAAATGGGGACCCTGAAAAAAAGAAAAAAGGGGGCCCTCACGCCCTTAAGAAAGTATACATAAGGGTCTCGTTCGACACCACTTGAAAATACTAGAGTTTCAAGGGCACCCTAACTCACGGAAGGTGATYAATTTCCCTTAACCCTTTTTTTTYSGTTCCACAACCCCTTGACTAAACCCTTGAGAYGGCCGTCCTTGAGACTGAAGCGCTGATGGCATTGCACCAGGAACCGTGGTGATTGGTGGGGGRAAAAAARAGAAGGAAAAAAGAAAAAGGTCYGTATATAACCTGTTTTGAWGGGTCCAGCCCTYGCAACCCAAGTGATCTCCSGAGGCACCCTTGGGATTTTCGTTGATTTGGCTGGGCCACACTTCCGTTTCAAGGGCGGGCACTTGGCCGCGGGGTTGTGGAAACAATTACCGATTTCGAGGGTACATCATGAGGGCGGGGTCGAAGGACCTTCCTTGAAAAACAGCGAATTCCAAGTGGTGTCGAACCAGGCCCTAAGTATGTATACATCATCATAGCGGATGGCCCGGGTGAGCGGTCAGAGGACAATGAACGAGGGGCTGTGACAGACTGTTTCGTTGGATTTTCACCGACTTGTCAGGAGGCTGAACCCTGTCGTTCGTTGGATTTTCACCGACCGATTCGTCAGGAGGCTGAGCTCTCTACAGTTCAGGTACAGTAACCTTTTTTTTTACCCCTTTTTTTTCCCCTTCCTGTAAGCGATAACCCCCCCAAACCCCAGTTATTAGGGTTAAGCATCAACGACTGCCGGATAACTGATACCCTGGCATGTGTAGGGCCTCGCCACACCCCTCCTGAAATTGGCTAATGCCAGAGTAAAGTCATTGCCACACCTGCTCCTGAATTCAGCCTGTCAGAAAAAAACACTCGGGAACTGTCGTGAATCGTGAAGGCCGTTTCGAGAGCACTCGCCGCTTTTTCCATTGCAGGCAGGCCAATTTGGGAGACCTCTGAAAGGCGGGCAACTTTGCTGAGTTCGCCCCAAAATTCGGGAACATTTAGCGGCCCTTAGAGTCTCTATCGTCATAAACAACAGAAGTCGACAGTCTCTTCACAGAAGAAGACATCTCTACCAGCGATCACCGTGGGTCTGGTCCTTGGCCTCGACAACATCTTGGGGTTCTGAAAGAAGAAAAGAAAAAGAAGAAAAAAGAAGACACATCTCGGAGTTGGAGAGTTGGCTGTTCGGGAGTGCAGTGGGGCGATGACCACTATAGAAGGCCATTTCCCAGATCCTGGAGATGGAAAGCYTTGGGGATTCAGGAGTGGTGTGGCGAGGCGCATATATAGGCTCCTGATGCGTGGGTGAAGCTCCGACGAAACAGCATRTATATTACAATTCAGTTCTTGCTGGGTATCAGTTGTTGGGCAGTCTTTGATGCTTAGTCGCAACTGGGGTTAAGGTGGATTATCACTTATAATATCATGGGTTAGGGGGCTCTGCAGACTGAGACGGTTCAGCCGACTACTAATGAGTGGGTGCAACTCAGTCTGTCACAGCCCCTCGTTGTTGCCCTCTTCTCCCACTCTAGCTACGGTTCACCGGGCAGCAGATCTCTCTATGAGACATTAGCTTTGTATTGTCCTCCAAACATCGGAGCTTCATAGTCCCGCCATAGCCACCTGCTCGACCAAGTAGGAGAAAGGTGTATGAGTGAACACGGGAGCTTTTTTTTCTTTTCTTTTTTGGGAACAACCGTCTGGGTGCTAGGGGTGCTGATAAGAGCACTCACCTCTAGCACCGCAGGGGGGGCTCCATCTACTGGTGGGGAGCGCACCTGCTGGACACCGGGTCCAGCGTCCCTTGTACAGAACCATGTCTGTATTGACAGAGTCTGACCTTGAAGTTGCCTGCCAGCATTGATTGCCCTGGGAACCCAGGGGATTCACTGCGCAGGAGTAGTTGGGGGGGGGAGGGAGGGGAGTGGCCTCTTCAGCCCTGTGAGCGGGCGCCTGACAAACCATGATTAGCTAGTTCTCTGCCATAGCCACCTGCTCGACCAAGTAGGAGGAAAAGTTGCTGAGATATAGAGACTTTTTCTAAAGTAGCACTTTTGTGTTTATAATACTTTATATCCATGTGACTTCAGGTACAGCTTGACTGTCAAGCTGTGTCAACCCTGAACCCTAGCACGTAAACCTTAAGCCCTAAACCCTAAACCTTGAACATGAAGTTCAACACTGATCCGCAACCATAACGCCGACCGCAGAACCCTTGACCGTAAATTTCCGAACCTAAAACCTAAACCGTGAAGTGTAATTCCTATATACTCAAGAACTGCCGAGTCTCGTTATCCTACATGGGACCAACATCCCCATACTTGGATTTCTGGATTTCAACGTTGGGTTTTTTTTTTTTTTTAACAGAAAACGAAAACAACAGTATTATAATCCAAAGAAAAGTATTTAATTTTTTTT